CAGTATCATCTATTGATACTGGTAATGGCTCAAAAGGGCCACCACTTACGGGCTATTCATGCCCGTGCCACCTTTTGGGTGGCTTAATCTTCATCAATCATCAATCTTCTTGACAGTATCATCGAGGAGCAACCTGAGAGCACACGCTTAAATATATCATCGTGACAAGCCATTAATAGGTTTAAAGATGATGTACGATAGTTGGCCACATTATAATATTATGAGTCAAGCTAACTTTGACGAGGCTCTAATTTGGCTTTAACACTGCCGAAGTAAATGTTAAAGCTATCAACTTTTATAATGCCGCTCCCCAGGATGGTTGGGGGGGGGGGGGATTACAGTATCATCAATTTTGACTGGAGTGTTAATTACTTCCTAAATAAACAACTTTACCACTCTTAAAATGAAAATTTGAATAATGATTATTAATATTATCCAGGTGTGATGAGACTGCCTCCTTGACGTATACCATTATAAGCCTTTGGTGAATATACCAAGTATACTTGTACAGTTAGTGTCGCTTGCTCATATTTCCAGCAATTCACTCTTGTCAAAATAAGTTTGAGATCCTTTGAGGCTAGAATGCGCGTTTTTTTTCCCAAGTTTCCTTTTAATCATAATTGATAGTACAGTAATTGATAGTTTTAATCCTACTTGATATAATTAAAAATTGTAAATAATCTTTAATTCTAACTCGAGAATTTTATACATTTTGGGTAATGGTGTGTGACAATCGCCATAGGCTTGTAGTTTTCAGATTTCGTAAGACCCTTTATTTTACGTTTTAGAAGAAAAATTATTAATATAAAATTTGAATTCTTTTGGTATTAAATGATGCACAATGCATGTGTTTGTTAGTATGTTCCGGCATGCAGGGGCATATATGTATGGTTCTCAAGGCAAACTGGCATACTCGATTCCTTTGTAAGTGAAGAGGCTTTTCAGGGCATCCCTAATTTATGTGAAGGTTAAATACTATTATTCAACGTTGTATTTTAGAAAACGTTATTGTTAAATAACTGTGATTAGTGACTAGTGACGGACATCTTCGCCAGTTTTTGCTATTGGTAGTCTTCAAGGAAGCGTTACGTAGGCTAACTTCAAGGAAGTAGGTTGATTATTGTTTAAGGGCGGGAAGATGTGTTGCTTCTGGTGTGTGTGTGTGCTCTAGTTTTTAGTTATACTGTTCTCATTATCTCACTGTCATTTAGGAAAACATTAATATTTACGTGGTAAATAAGTGTGGTCAGTCAGTTATTGGCAGAGCGCAAATTGTAGTGCAGGTTTTGGTTGGTGAGTGTTGCTGAGCCGTCTGCCTGGCGCCACCAGAGGCTGACCGCCCATCTTCCCACCACCTCCACCACCCATTGCTCAACGCCCACTGCCGACCCTCCACCACCACCCACCTACTACCACCAACCACTACTAGCTCTTTCAATGCCCACCCACCACAACCACTAATCCCCCTCCACTGCCCAGCAACTCTCCCCATTGCCTGCCCAGACCACCACCACCACCCCCCACCACCACAGAACAGTAGGTAAATGAATCGTATATTAACTTCAATGTTAGTGTGATACAAACATTATAGGGGTTAGTACACCAGTCCATCCTCTCGAGCTTTCACAACGTCACTAAACTGATGTACTAACCTAACCGAGGACCCACGAATAGAAAATGGAACATAGCATCAATTTTGCGAGCCGCAATGATTTTTAGTACATCAGTTTTTCGCCTTTGGGGAATATATACGTCAAAATTTGATGTATTATTACGAGGAGCTGTGATCAGGTCACCTTCGTTAACACCAGTTCCGATACTCGGTTCCTATTGGTAATTCATACTTGAATGGATATTTTTGCTGCATACGGCTATCTTCATTACAATAAATAATTAATATGGATAATAAGCATATACTAATTAGATATCGTAAGAAAAGAAAAGTAATATTTAAGGCGGGGAGGGGAGGGAACTATCAGGGCAAAGTGCCAAGCCGTTACGACTATATAACACTTGTAATGGGTCCGTATGGGATGGGACGGGGGAGAGGAATGGTACCCAAGCACTTGGATGGTCGGGGATTGAACGCCGACCTGCATGAAGCGGGACCGTCGCTCTACCGTCGAGCCCAAGTGGTTGGAATATTTAAGGTGGTCTCAGCAGTGTTAGTTTGTCGTTGTTATTCAAGATTTTTATTTTATTTTCAACAAATTCATTATTGCAACGATCAAAAGTAGTGAGCATGAGACAGGCCGACTGGTCCCTCGTCATGGGAGACCTTGCAAGAGTGTCTAGCTGGAAAGGAATACCAGTGAATTGATCGACGTTAAATCATTATACTTTTACTCATAGATACAGATCTTGAGTGTTCCTGGAACAGGAGCGCGATGAGAGATCAAAGAAGCTGCTGAGACTAGCAGTCATTGTCACAGGTAGCCATTATTGATCGACGCCCAAGTAATCTCTCGCGTGAATAACACAAAGCGGGTAAATAACAATTAACCATCACTACCAAAATAAGGAATTTTTATTTTATCAGTATAGTTAATGCATTTTCTGTACTATCTTCGTATAGTTCAATATATGAAGGTAGTGCAGCGAGCTGGTGGATGGACGTGCGGCCTGAGTTACTCTACCCCCTCCCCTCGTCATTTCCAGAACTGAAAGCTTATCTTGTTGAACCTACAGTTAGCTAATTTATCGCCAGGCTAATGACTAGTAAACGGGTTGGGTGGTGACGCTCTCGCTGCTCTGTACTCACTGTCATAGTTTCGTAAGAATTCGTTCATTTTTGTTTTGATTTTTTGGTTACTGAATTAAATAGTGATATCATTAGCTGCAGCCATCAAGTGCGCTTCACAAGGCGAAGTTTTTGGTTTGGACGCGAGATACTTGGCAGGTTGTGAAGTATTGTCTTCCCGTTACATGTGTGTGAGGTAAACAAATATGAGGAGTGAGGCATGAGCGTAGAGTTGCTTTACACCGGGGGCAGCAGTGGTGAGGGAGGGGCTGAGAGCACTCCCCCGTTCTCTTGACTGGCCACAACGTACACAATACTTGTTGTTGTTAAAGATTCGCTACCTGGAACAAAAAGTTCCAAGTAACACGGGCTATGGTGAGCCCGTAGTGCCTTACACAATACTAAGACCTAACCTAACGACCCAACCCAGTTGAGTTACCCCACCTTACTTAACCTACCGCTGCATAGAAAACGTGGATGTTTGTGAGCACTTACTTGTCATAATGCTTTGTAATATGTACGTGAGAAGTAATAGTTGAGAGAGCAGGGTGCGGTATTATAGGGTGCTGTGTATTTAAAATTTATATTTTCTCAAATATAAGGTAATGATATTTCTTACTAGAAAGTGTTGCATAGTTAGGCGTAATTTAGGCTAGGTTTTGTTGCTCATTACTGGTATTTTCAAAGTAGTAGACAGGATTGTATGTATTTATATGGGGATATATATATATATATATATATATATATATATATATATATATATATATATATATATATATATTATATATATATCGCAGGAAGATATAAGACAAAAGAAAGAATTACAAGAATAAAGCAAACTAATCAAGATTTCAAGAGCAGAATGTGGTTCATGTGTGAACATGTTAATTAATACTTAAGCATTGATTAATACTGTAGCATTTTAATCAATACTTTAACATTTTAATTATGTTAATATTATAGCATTGCAATAAATAAAACAAAATTAATAAAAAATAATAGGGGTAGTAGGAGAGGAAAAGATTAAAGTATTCAGTGAGAATCCACAAGGTCTTCTCTGAACATGTTATTTTCTTCATTGAGGATGTGGGTCCCTTTAATTACACCAGTGGTGGTATTATATATATATATATATATATATATATATATATATATATATATATATATATATATATATATATATATATATATATATAATATAATTATCATGTGTGTGTGTGTGTGTGTGTGTATAGTAACGCTATGTAAAAAGACACCTCGAACACTGTTTATGTAGGACAGACGTAAATCTGTGTTTATGTTTGTAGGTTAGATTAACATTTTAAAAGCATTACAATCACCTTCTGTGGTTGATTGTTCAATAAATCACTGAATTATATGTTTAATAGATCTCTGTCCCTGTCCATGGAGGACAGAGGTAAATGTATATATATATATATATATATATATATATATATATATGTCGTACCTAGTAGCCAGAACGCACTTCCCAGCCTACTATGCAAGGCCCGATTTGCCTAATAAGCCAAGTTTTCATGAATTAATGTTTTTTCGACTACCTAACCTACCTAAACTAACCTAACCTAACTTTTTCGGCTACCTAACCTAACCTAACCTATAAAGATAGGTTAGGTTAGGTTAGGTAGGGTTGGTTAGGTTCGGTCATATATCTACGTTAATTTTAACTCCAATAAAAAAAAATTGACCTCATACATAATGAAATGGGTAGCTTTATCATTTCATAAGGAAAAAAATAGAGAAAATATAATAATTCAGGAAAACTTGGCTTATTAGGCAAATCGGGCTTTGCATAGTAGGCTGAGAAGTGCGTTCTGGCTACTAGGTACGACATATATATATATATATATATATATATATATATATATATATATATATATATATATGCTGGTTAGCATTGTAAATGTGTGGCCATGTTTGTGGTAGAAAAAAAACCCTGATATTTGTAGTACGTGAATAGCAGAATAAGTCATATTCTGCTCGATTCTCACCTCAATAAATGCTTCATTCAGGTATTGCAAATGCCAATAATGGCCAACAGAACCTAACCTTAATTAGACCTAACTATTCAGCACATTCTAGTATGAAACAATAGTACCTTGATTACCTCCTTATAATAATTCCTCCTTATAATTGAGGAAATTCAAATTTTGAATATGCAGTACGTTAAAGTTGATGAATGCATTTTGCCTCACTATCCGTCACTCAACTAACTATACCCCACACTTTTATCACTTCTCAGGGCTCCGTGTTGGAAGAAGTTAGTGGATGTTCAGCAAGACTAGTGAGCACCATGGTTGGCGGTTTATCTCCATTGTCTTCATCTTCTGCTGCTGCCTCTACATCATCCAAGGTTCCCTCTGCTGCATGTCCCAGCACGTCATCGACCCAGCTCGGCATTGACGATGGAGAAACTGCATTTACTCAAGCACTCGTTACTATTATATATGAGTATTTGTCTGTTGGCAAGCCTCAGGCTATCACCAATTGGCTCGCAGCACTACAGGTGAGAATGTTACAGTATAAACTTAGAAAAACCTTAGAAAAACCGAACCTTAGAACTAAACTCTGGTTTTCTAAGGTTCGTATGTAATGGCGTACATTACTAGTACATGGAATGTTAGGACAAGCCTTTTCATACTAGAATATTTTATTTATTTCTGTTTAGCTTCTGGTGCTTACAAATGGTTCTCTGTAATTTTATGTTCATGTTGTTATTTTACTTGGAGAATGAAAGCACCAGGGGCAGGTGGGAAGTACAAAATGAATGATACATGTGTGTTAGGAGACAACCTTAGGCAGGGTTGCTGTATTACATATCAAGTAAATCTATTTGGTTGAGGGAGTGGTAATATCATTGGCCTGCAACCCTGTACTGTAGTCCCAAATTTGCCTTCATCCCCAAAGAACTGGAAAATCCAACTACTGGAGTTTGCATATATCTAGTCAGAAGTGGATTCCTGTCTTGATTGGTATGAGCTGGTAATGACTTCAAACCCATGAATAGGTTCACTCATTACTGTTATAGTCACTATGCCGTGAGTGTGCAAATTTACCCTGGCTGGGGGAACAACCCTATAAACAAACTTCTTCCTGGGAGGCAAAAGTGTGTTCTAACACAATCACACCCTGTAAGTTTTGTCTTGTTGGCCAAGCCACTGATCAAATTGAGGCTAGATTGTTTAAAAATACTTTCTATTTGAGCAGGAAAATATAGGACCAAATAAAGAATCACAAGAAAAAAGCAAACTAATCAAGATTCCAAGAGCAGGATGTGTTCATGTGTGAACATGTTAATTAATACTTAAGAAACTCTCTGCCTCATATTGTGTAGTCGTTATTGTGGAATACTAAGCCAGTTACAGACCCAGTTATGTTCTGGTTTCCATATTACAAAAAATAAATGGCTAAAATAGCTAAATAGCTACTGTACTGGAAAATAAAAGTTAGGAAGCTGATGGCTTAAAAGGTTGTGCAGCTACTCAGGAGGTTATCTGTGATATATGTAGTATCCGTCACTCTGAATGTAACCATCATTCACCTCCAGTCTTGTTACCAAACTTTGTTGGCTTGTATCTCTTTAATTAATTATCTGCTATTTTTATCTTCTTTAATGGTTATACTCTGGTCTCAGAAAATATTTTGTTCATCTGAGAAATGCTGAGATCTACTATATGTGGGATTCTGATGGTCATCCCAAAGAAGGACTTCAACCTTTAACTTTAGAAAAAAAAATGGCTATCATTTTATCAGTTTTGACAGTTTTAAAGTCATTTCATATATTCCATATCATTATACATGTACTATAAATTGTATCAGACATATTTGTAAAGCCTCTGCTCCTCTAGGATTTGCTGAGAGTCGACTTCATTTCAACTTTAGGTGTTTTATTAAGTCTGATAAAAGTTTATCTGTATTGTGCTTTACCTTATTCATATCTGATCAACCTTGCTTCCTGACTATTGTAATGTTCCTTCAAGGTTTCAGTATTTTCAATGACACTTGATAAGGCATGTAGCAAATCTCCAATCTCAAAAATGCTTATTTTTGCTTTGAACATTGCTTATTTATCTGCTTTCTCAATTTCCATTAAATTCTTTAAGAATGGTGAGCTCTTGGCTAGACTTGTACCTCATGGGAGCAGTGCTGTGAACTGAGCATTGGTTATTACATTTATCCAAGGACACAAGTTTCTTTTGTCTGGTGTCTATGGATCGGTGATCACATTGGCAATTTAGATATCATACATGTAGTGACCTATAATGTCTGGTTATATGGGCAGACGGTAGTTTATACATATCGCCTTATAATCATGGGTAGATCTCATCGCCATTTTGGATGGAGCAAGTGAGTACAAGGTAGTGAGGAAGGGTCATGGTTGACCTGACTTAGCCAATAGTTTTGATAACTCTTCCACTCAACCATTCTGTCGCATTCAGTCCCTGACTGTCCAAATGGTTGGGCACCATTCCTTCCCCCTGTCCCATCCCAAGTCCTTGTCCTGACCCCTTTCAAGTGCTATATAGTCGTAATGGCTTGGTGCTTTTCCTGATAATTCCCTTCCCTTCCCTTCCTAGTGACATCAGAGAAGCCCATAGCTTACCCAATCAGATACTAGTGATGGTAGAAACTGCATTCTGATTGGTGTTATATGTGAAGGTTTCTAACTTAAGTGAAGCAAAGTGAGAGTTTGGTTAGCTCACCCTTAGTTTTTATCACTTCATTCTCTGGGACGCGACCTTACCTTGAGGTTACCTTGAAAAGATTTTGGGGTTTAGCGTCTCCATGGCCCCAAAAAGCTTTCCTATTCCAGTATCTCTTGAATAGGAAAGATTTTTCATTGTTATCATCTAGACCAAAAAATGCATAAATTTGTTCAGAGCACAAACATACTTTAATCACAGAAACCCCCCAAAATCAGCCAAAAAAATTGCAAGTAGATTTACCTATTTTTATAAAGTTATCAAAGACAGAGAATATTACATTTTTGAACAATGCATTCTGCAGACACAACCTGTAAAATACAGTTGTAATGAATCGGTAAATATTATGTCTATAAGAATGTAGAAAAGTGCTTGGGTACCTGTTACATTACATTAAAACTATTTTCAACTTTGCTATGCATAAACCTTCAGGTCACAATAAAAATGTCCATAGTTAACTTCACTCATGGTATATTTTAGATGAAAAAGTTTTGTTTTCTTTTCTTTTACAGTCTAGGTTTTATTGTTTGGAATGTACACATTAAAATTCAAACTTGCTTATACAAAAAATCCCAGACTAAAACATTTTGCTTTTATTTTGTTCAATTTTCAAAATATGGTGTATGCACCTAGGGAGATTGGCTAGGGTGTCTTCTCTGCCTTCAGCACTTGTTATCATGTTTAATCACATTTGTTATCATAATTTCTACATGTCAGGAGTTAAGAATTTTATGGATGGGTGTCCTGACATTTATGACTTGTAAAATTGCAGACAGTGTTGCAATGTTATGATCATATGAGTTCATAACAAAGATGGTGAAAACTATTAGATTTGAATTTAGAAGTGGAAGACTAAGAAAAAGTGAGCTAAGCAACCTGTTATGGTGATAGAAAATACTGCATGCTGTGAACAGAAATTACTTTATAGAAATAACTCCACATGAGACTAGGATATGCAGCAAGAAGAGCCAAATACCCCCATTGAGAAGCTGAGGTTCAGTAAGTGTGTTTAGAGATAATGCTGTCAACATTAAATGCCAAGACTTTTTAATACTCTCCCTCTAAAATAAGGAGGGCATAACTAGCCAACCTCTCATGGTATTCAAAAGAGAACTTGATAAACATTTCCGAACATTACCTGATCAACTGGGCAGGGATTCACATGTCTGACTGTGAGCAGCTGCATCTAACAGCTAGTTTGACTAGACCATCAACCAGGAGGTCTAGTCAGAGACTGGGCCATAGGGACATTGATTCCCAGAACTACCAACAGGTAGCATGTCACAAGTTATAATGGACAGAGATGTGCAGAAGCGGCAAATTAAGTACATGATGAAAAATAGTGCTGAAAGATATTAGACATTTACTGTACTGAAGTACTATCATGCGTAAATTCCTAAACATCGTCATATGCACATTGCTGAGTCTTGGAGAATTTGATTCACATACAGTACCGTACTAAAATTCATTTTTATTAAATACGCTTCTAATACCAATCCTTCAATGTTATTGCAGGGTGTAAGGCGAGTTTCAGTTCTTAGTCAACGAGCCGGACTCTTACTGTGGCAGGTAAAGTTAATTGGCCGTGCTGCTCATTTCCTTCATCGTCTAACATGTACTGCTAAAGAAACTTCAACATCAGGTGAAGAGATCAGTGGTGGGGAGCCTAGTCCTCTTGTGTCAGCCGAACAAGCATTGTCACTTAATAAACGCTTGGACCTTCTTACTGATACCTGGCTTGAAGGTCAGTTCTCAAGAGTTTCCATAAAATAAACAGAATACTGATGCTTAATACTTCATTGTTTGTAATTATATTAGGTTTAATATTTAAACTGTGATACCGTTTAACAAAAACAAAATTAATTGAATAAATGCCAATGATATTTACATGCACTGTACAGGGTACTTATTTTTCTACAATTGAAATTTTTTATTTTTCAGTACATCTGCAAACAGAATACTGATACAGTACATAAATATATGTATCCATATAAAGCATTCTTTGTATTCTTGTGATTTTTAATACAAATTTGATCTGCAGAAGTACGGGAAGAAGTTGTGCGATACTTGCGAGGAGATGCAGAGAAACAGTATTCAGCAAAATGTGCCTTTACACTTGTCATGCGAGACTTGCCTTTACCTCTTAATTTTCATGAATGTGAAGGTGAGAACGTATAGCTTTTCAAAATTTATTATCAAGTATTTATTTTAAACACAAATTTTAAATCATATTTCAATCTTTTATATGAAATTTAATGCAGTAAATACTGTACTGTATACAGTATTATTGTATTATTAAGTATTAAAGTTACAGTACTGTTTACTTATCTGACTTTTTACAATGTTATTTTGTCTTCCCCTCTAGGGTGCTCTGATCCTCTGGCACTACTTGCTGTTTTACGCAGAGCCAAGGTGCCAACCATTGCAATATCTGCCCTTGCAAATATGTTGTTCCAGACCTGAGCATGAATATTTTTTGTAAGTTCAAAATAAATTGTTTTGGTGCATAGTTTAGTTTAAATAAAAATATGTAATTTTACAGGAGGATGTGTAAATATTTTATGAAACGACAAAATATTTTTCTGTAAAATCTATGAAAATGATTATTCTGCAAAATTGTTTTGATCCATGACATTTTACCATTTATACTGTTCATACCAAGGTAAAATTATAAATTGCTCAATGCAATATATGTGTGCATTATAGAATGAAATGGAAAAAGCCTCACAGACAACTGCTAATATGACAAAAAATGACTCCATAGCTTATGCCAATTATAAAGTGTAGTGCAGTATTTTAAAATCTGTATGATATATCTCTGCATTATGTATGTAACAGGTTAGTGGAATCTCTTTTATTTATATTATTTTTTATGATTACATTTAGTATAACCTTTTTCTTTTATAAAAGTTTTATGCACTTTTTCAATTAAATAATGAATTAAATATATTGTAGTATTCTTATTCAAAGTTTGAGCTACCTACAACAATCTGATCAGCCTTTTCTTATGATTGACAAGAATTATATTAAATAGTTTTGTCCAGCCAGAGCCTGACAGCTGAGTGGACAGCGCTTCGGATTCGTAGTCTTGAGGTTCCGGGTTCAATCCCCGGTGGAGGCGGAAACAAATGGGCAGTTTCTTTCACCCTGATGCTTCTGTTACCTAGCAGTAAATAGGTACCTAGGAGCTAGACAGATGCTACAGGCTGCTTCCTGGGGCTGTGTAACAAAAAGGAGGCCTTGTTGAGGACCGGGCCACGGGGGCCGCTAAGCCCCAATATCATCTCAAGATAACCTCAAGAAGGTACTTCTTCTTGACCCTACCTGCTAACTTTGACTATTGCTGTTAGTAGACATATTTCCTGCTCACAAATAATGAAATACCTAAAGAAATATTGATATAAATGCTTGAGTAATGAAAGGTTACATGGCATGATCACAAAGTGAAAAGTGTATGACCATTATGTGACCATTATTATCGACCTACATTAGGACTACTGTACCACAAAATTTCCCATATTTTACTAAAATTTCACAATAAGGTAGAGTATGTATAAGATCATAAGTACAATAAAGCATTCATAAAAGTGACTATGACCCTGTCCATCAAGTATTCCCATACTCAGTCCAGTGTCTTACCTGTCATCCCTGCATGTCTCTCCATCATGTGTATTAGCCTTTTGTGGTGAACTGTATCAAATGCTGTTTGGCTGTCTAGAAAGATGCAGTCTACCTATCCTTCCTTCTCTTGTTTTATTTTGGTGACCCTGCCATAGAATGCAATGAAGTTTGTTAAGCACGATTTTTCCCTCTGAAGCTGTGTTGTAGCAATTTAAAATTTACTCAACCTAAATTAAAAAAATATTCTGATGGTGTTTCTTGCATGGATTGCATGTTAATGACTCTGGTCAATAGTTTAGTGCTTTATATTTGTCCCCTTTGTTGAATCTTGGAACTACATTTACCATTTTATTTATCAACCAGATTTCTGGTTGTGAGTGATAATTTCTCAGCCAAATGTGCACACCCATGGTTGCAGTCCTGTACAGTATACCTATATATGGTTATTGTTATCTCTGGTTGGTGTACACTTGTGGTGGGTGTCCCAAATAAGAAATTGTACTTGCGACTCGGATGAAGTATGTGGGAAGGCATATGATATCTGGTTGTGTGACGAGTTGAGTGAAGCTTTATTCATCTTGTGTGATACTTCCATTTGAAATGGTATTAGTGGAGGCAGAAGGTGATTTGCTGCAAGTAGTCAGGTTAACCTGGCCTCGGTTATCTAGGCTGGGGAAAGTGCCACCTCTACACTCTTGATGATGTTATGTAAACCTAGGAAAGGACCATTCAGGTGATAGGCCAAGATAGAAACTCCATTTTCATTAGTGAATCTACACACAGGTTCAATGAAGAGAACGAGGGGAGAATGAGCATGTGTGAGCTAGCTAACTCATATGCTCCTGGGTGACTGTATTTGCTAGATGGGTTGTCTGCACTTTTAACTTAGGCTCTCGTGCAAACAGTACTAAGTATATTAGATGTTGAGACATTAGAGAGAGTAGTCATGGCTGAGTTGATAAGTACGTAAACCCCCTTTTGCAGAGCTGAAATGATTGACAGTACTGTACTTTAAATTCACAGAAATGGCATCCTCCTCCTCCAGTACTCTTCCCCCCCTGGTGTGGTATCAAGACTGCTTGCAGTGGAGATGGAATTATTGCAATGTTGAAATCACTGCAGTCATAATAATGAAGCGTGTGACTGGAAGAGCGCATGTGTGTACTGAATGTTTAAACATAACTACAGTAGAACACTTACAATTTTATTGTGCAACATTCATCTCACATTCATGGCAACCCAAATGGTAGCTCAGTTAAATCAAATTGCAAACTCCTGGAACAGGTTGTGCCAAATTATTGGTAAAGATTGGAGGCAGTTCATAGTTCAAGATTTGTGAATCAGTCTAAATGGTGACATCTCATGAGTTCTGCTGAAGTAAAAGTGCACATTTGGGATTATTTCAAACACATGCAGGCTATATTTTTGTGCATGCAAGACAATATCTCACACATCATATTTGGAGCTCCAGTGATTCCTTTGAATTGTGGCATATTCATGAAATGAAATGTAATGAATGTCATATAATTGCCATGTAATGAAATGTCATGTATCTGCAGGATCTGCAGGATCAGTATTGTTTTATAACTTTGTATATGGCTTCACAGAGTAAAGAGAATTCCCAAACTATGTATGTAAGTTTAATGGTAATAAATTAATTACTTTAAACATGGTTTTAACAGTGATCCCTTCATCCTCATAAAATCTGTCATCCTCATTGAAGGGAACCATATTCATTACTAGTCATACATCCTATAAATATTGATGGTATCAAGTATTCTAATTCCCTACCTAACAGGTCGAGTTAAAACAACCAATAATCTGGCAGAATTCATTTAGATGCCATGCTGTTACTCTAAGCTTTTTACTTCTGTTGATAACCACTGTAAATAGTGGGCTATATTGCATGAGCAAAATTGCAAGTAGATGAGGTCCAAGGAAAAGTAATTTCAGACATCAGTAGCTCTTCCGTCTCTAGTGTAATACTGAACACCATCATAGTTAATGGGTATCACAAGATTCATGCTGCTTTCTTCAGTAACCACGGTGATATCTGGTCTAGTCCTACTGCTTTTGGTACATCCAATTACTCTATGTATGTTTTTACCTCCACTACATTTACACCAATTCTGTCTATTGTTTTTTCTGGTCATATGTTGTCTACCCCCTATTGGTACTGTGAAAACATTATAGCATTAAATGCAGAGCAGTCTGGACAAGAAATCACTTAAAGGAATGGCATATATGTATGTATTTACTTGTGACTAAAATATAATGTGTGTATAATAGTGGAGTTTGAATTGCAGTGGCCTGTCTAGATAAACACTTACCCTTTCTACAAATGTGTGACCTCTAAAAATAAACTGCTTACTCAAACCTGTGAATTGTTATTTAGATTTTCGTACCGTAATTTGCAGAATGTATTTTGAATATTATTTGAGCTAAGTTTATCACTGAGTACAATGGAAAGTGGATAAGTGGAATTGGTGAATTTCCTGTTTAGAAAGTGTCCAACTTGAGATCCAGCAGATGACTTGTCTGTTTGTGGTGCTATCTTCTTGAGATGATTTCGGGGCTTAGCATCCTTGCGGCCCGGTCCTCGACCAGGCCTCCTTTTTGTTACACACTCCCAGGAAGCAACCCGTTGCAGCTGTCTAAATCCCAGGTACCTATTTACTGCTAGGTGAACAGGCACATCAGGATGAAAGAAACTCTGCTCATTTGTTTCCGCTTCCACCCAGGATCGAACCCGGAACCTCAGGACTATGAACCCCGAGTGCAGTCGACTCAGCTGACAGGCCCCCATCTGCTGGAGTAATATTATGTACATTATACACACTATCAAGTCTTGTTTTTATAGGATGCTCTCCCCCTCTTTTTCTCTCTTAACACATCTCAGCCATGCTTTTTAATAAGGTTTTAATACACAACTAGATATATGTGCCTTTCTTGCCGACCACTCAGACATTCCTCCACACACAGACAAATGTTATCTTACACCCCCCCCCCCCCCTCAAAAAAAAAAAAAAAAGAGGGGGACTCACTTGTTTGCCCTCTTTTGGAGAGGGAGGTTGACATTTATCGATGTATGGTGTATCTGTTGGGAACAGCTGCCTGTGTATATATATATACTTTATACTTATATCAAAATTCTCCCAAGGACTACTGACCTTTACCAAGATGCAACCCCATAGTAGATAACTAACTCTCAGGGACTTAGGTGAAGAGGCATTAGATGAATGAAAACATGCACAACCATTTCTGTTTTGCCCAAGATTCGAATTCAGAATTCCCGATTGTGTTCAGCCCGTTCTCATTAGCAAAGGTGAAATGCTCGTTAATCCAGCTGTCAAATTCCCTGTTATGAATGAAAAACAGTTTACTCACAACTGATGATGTTTGCATATTTCTCGAACAGTTTTTTGTTGGCGACCTTTGTTCCAATCACAACTCGGTAAAGGCTTCATCCACGTGCTTCAAATACAAATAATCCAGGCCGTCCCTCAAACAAAGACCGAAGAGTGTGGCGCCTGCCATGCACCCCGCCAAACCCCCTGTTTATGACTGAAAAATGGTTTACACACCACTTGCAACTGATTTCGATCCAACACTTCTGAAACAAGTGTTTGACTGACGAATTTTGTTCGAATCACAACCCTGTAAATGCTTCACCCACATACTACAAACAAATAATCGCCAACAGAACCTAAACACCTAACCTAACCTATGCCTATATATGCACAATATGTTAATATATTATAATATTAATTTATATTTGAGAAAATTCCCGTTTTGAATGAATAGCATGTTAAAATTTATGAATGCGTCTGTGGGGTCGACCACTGGGTGTAATGGACGTGTCTAGGACGGGTTGAATAATCACCAACAGAACCTAACCTAAACTATGCCTAGCTATACACAGAACTTCAATGTATAATAATATTAACATATAAATTAAAACAAACCTATTTTTAATACACTGTGTTAAAATTGACGAACGCATCTTGGGGACGGCAGCCGCTTTAACGAACCTGGCCTGAGGACAAGCTGATGTATTGTAAGAATGAACAATATGGGAACATTTAGTTTCCTTACCCAATTAAACCACTAATCAAAGTAGGCCTAGATTTTTATTTTTTTGGGATAACTAGAAAGTTTAACACTAATAGTGCTGCCATCGGCCACTATGTAAAACACTTAACATGTTAACAGTGCTTGTTAGAGCACATCAAATTAAAACTAATGTAGACCATCCTGGAAATTTAAATCTTACCAAAAGAAAGTTTTAGATGATGTGATTGAAATTTTGGCCTGTAATATTGGCCCAATACTCCGGGAAGATAATTTTAAGTTTGGTAGGAATTTTTAATGTTAGTAATTGCAGGCAATTATCCAATTATCTCCATCTCCCCCTTAGTATCAACCTGAATATAAATATGTACTAGCACCCAACAACGATAGGACAGCACAAAATTTACAGGCAAGTGCCAGAGGAAATTAATTGCTATAAGTTTTTACTGCGAATGATCGTTAATTACAGTACACTTGTTCCGAATACCAATAGCTTTATTTGTTACTTTTTGCTTCGTGTTCCGATGACCACAATTAACATATGACCTAATTTGTTTCCAAAGCTGATTTTTTAATTATTTCAATTATTAAAATGAATATTTGTATTTTCAGTCCGTGGATGCATGAAGCATTCAAATTAGAGGAACCCATATTCAAGACAAAACCTCTAAATCAAATACTGACTCGTAAAGTTTAATAAGTTAATACTGGACATATTTTTGGTTTACTGGACATATTTTTGGTTTACTTAATGAGTAGCAACGACGCAGAATGGCGAAAATGTTCTCAGGTGTTGGACCCTACTTGAGGTGTGATTCGATCACAGGAAGAGAGCGAAGCACTGTTCAAGAAAAGTTCGAACGTAATCAGGCGAATGTTAGAATCATGGGTAAGCGTGAAGTGCAGCCCAGTAGCAGCGGCTAATGTCTGAGAACGGATTGGTCAAAGCAATGCACATACATATATAATGCAGTGGTACAATTTAAAATTTGTCAAGAAGCAATTTCACGAGCCATTGACCTCCCGTTCCCACCACGACCACTGGAGAAGACGCAGCAGGTGACAAACTGTAAGTAAACAAAAGGACGATGACAAAAATGGTGGGTTGTCTTCCACCCAGTACTGTATACTACACGTCCAACTGGCGGATTATTTTATATTTTGTCAGATAATTGGACGTTAGTTAAATTTACGTATATATATACAACGTTATGTCACTGGTGTACCAGCCTAAATTATGTAGTGGGAATTGTTAAGCACTCATCATAGGAAGTTTGTTAAATATTTATAAACCATAATTAAAATTTAAATATCACGATTAGCATTACATATGATTATTTGTTCCACGTTGGCAGGGCCAGATGAGTTGCATTACTAGTTATCAATGTTTTATGAAAGGCCAGTTCGAGCGTGTGGCATTATGGAAGGTCGTTGTGGCCATTATTAGCAAGTCTCCACCTTTCATGGTGTGGAGACCATCAGCCCGGAGAAGAGAGGGAGACAATGAAGTTATAAAGTAAAATATATTTATAGTGATTCATAATATCAATACCTTTTTGGGCTTTGTAATTAATCTTTTATCATATCTTGACTATGATCCGGCGTTCTATAGTTTTAATAGTAGAAACTGGGATATCAACATCTAATTCAGTTTCTTCATTGTTACATAAAGATTTATAGCAGTTTTCCTTTATCATATTGTGTTATACCGATAGAGGAAGTACTGAATATTCGTACAATGGCTATTAAAATGGATAAACAGTAATAATCAATACAGTGAAATTAACTGTAATTCTACATTTGACAGTTTTTTTTAAGCCTGCTTTTAGAAGTTATATAGTCATCTCTTGCACAAAACAATTGCCAGTTGATTTTTGTTTAACCTAACCTAACCTAACTCAACTTCATGTAGTTGAAGAAAATTGCGGGCGAAACGTCTGTGTACAATTTGACCGACTCATTATTTCTAGTACGAGGTGTGAATAATGAGCTGGATTGAGTGGAGAATGACAGCTGTGTCACTCTGCACACTTCACCACACGGTGCACAACATCAACAGTAAGGATAAGAAATGATAACAAAATAAGTTTAAATATAGGGTTCTGACGCTCTTTTGGGTAAATAGGCATAAAACTAACACACTAACGCTCAAGTATTTTCAGCTGCCTCCATTCTGGGGGGTTGGAAACTTATTGATTTTGAGGCAGACTGGTTAAAGTTCGGTGAGAGTCAGGAAAAATATGCGACCTTTTGAGAAGGAATAAGATAGTGGACGGGTGGTAACGGAATTATCAGGGAGAAGGCGCCAAGCGATAATGATTATATAACTTTGGGAAGGGGTCAGGATAAGGATTTGGGATGGGAGGCGGGGAAAGATACGGTGCCCAATCACTTGGACGGTCGGGGATTGAACGCCGACCTGCATGAAGTTACACCGTCGCTCTACCGTCCAGCCCAAGTGGTTGGACGGTTAAACTTTCATTAGTTACATCTAGTACAGTACTACAGTCACCGCGTGTCCCTATGCCATGGGATGTCATATTAAGATCGCAGGTTCTCCATGTAGCGTCATAGTTTAGTGTTCGTCATTAATTATG